GTGGAACAATATGTTGAATACTTGAATAGTTGAACACTTTTATGCCTGAATACATCAATTCAAAGTTGAATAGTTGCATAGTTGAACACTTGAATATTTGAATAGTTGAATTCAAAAGCTGAATAGCTGAATAGTTGAATAGCCAAAGAGTAGAATAGTTTAACAATTGAATAGTTGAGCTGAGATCTTTACTAGTTATATGGTTGAATAGTTGAAGTGATAATGGAATGCTTGAAGTTTAACTTTTCCATTTTCAGCTATTCAATGACTGAATTCAACTTTCAAGTTTGACATACTTGTTTTATCTATAATAGATATATATGGAAAAGAAATCTTATTTTGACCATATGATAGATATTCTTCAGTGTAGAAAAAAGTGAATCGGTATCCGATAAAATTTGCTTTTTCCTATTAAAAGCGACAGAATACTACCACACTACAATAAACAAAGATCAGAAAGTGCATGAAATGTTTTCATATCAAAATAAGTCAAATATCAGGAAAGTTTTCTTTTTCATTTCGTCCCGTTGAAAATGAGTTCTATCTCGGTGAAAAAAAGCTTCGATTATAATCGAAAAATTTTTCACTGGGTATGTTTTTGAAAATAAACAGATCTTCTATTAAACTTTTTACTGTTAATTTCAGAAAGTGACTTTTTAGAAATTTGTCAATATTCCTTTTGATGGGCTGCACATTGTCGAAACATGTCACAGTAGCGAGAGCGCCTTTGACCGTGAAATATGATTCGTTTCAAATTCAAAAAGATACATCAATCCAAGCACAACAAAATACACGTTTTATCGAAAACTGTATGATTATCTGGTTCGTTGATCAAGCAGCGACTCCAGAAAAAGAAACTGTTCTAGCACATTTACGTCACATCGTCTGTACACTACGAATATGTACTGATCAAGACGCATGTGTTACTTTTATGACTAATATTTGCGAAGTGAAGATATTTCTCATCCTTCCATCCGACATGAACTCATTTGTTGAACGCATTCGTCACCTAAGACAAATCGAGAAGATCTATATTTTCGACAAACCTTCGAATAATATCGATCAAGAAACATTTCAATTGAATCTATCAACTTTATGTGAACAATTACGTCAAGATGTTGAACTGTGTGAATTCGACTGTATTGCTATCACAGCGACTCCACCATTGACATCGAATAGCGATTCAACAAAACAAACAGCAGAATTTCTCTATGCACAGTTAATGAAAGAGCTCTTGTGCCAATTTAAATTAGATGAAAATGCTCAAAATATCCTTTTGAATTTCTGTCGTCAACACTATGCACATGACAATGAACAGTTGAGTACTATCGCTGATTTCGAACAAACTTATCGACCGCAAAAAGCTCTCGTATGGTTAAATCGATCGTGTTTCATTTCACGAATGCTTCACCGTGCTCAACGTACACGCGAAATCGATGCTATCCAGAAGCTCGCCTTCTTTATGAAACATATTCATATTCAAATCAGTAATGTATTTGAGCAAACATTTGCTTTGACACAGAATCCTTTAATAGTCTATCGTGGTAAGACAATGTTAAACGATGAATTTGAGATACTGATAAAAAATAATTGTCGTGGTCTACTCTCATGCTCGACGTTTCTAATAACCAATGTTGACAAAAATGTTGCAATGAATTTTCTTCGTCGTCGAATAGCAACTCATGCGGATAGAATAGCTATTCTCTTTGAAATCCATGCCGATCCGATGAAACATAATACAATGAGTCCGTTTATTTCACTGGACAATATCGATTTGAATGACGAATCAGAAAATAGCAGAATTTGTTTCACTCTGAGCGTTATCTTCCGTATTGAATCTGTCGAAAAAACGGATGAACAATCGATGAATAATATGTGGACGGTGAAATTGATACTCATCGATGATCATGATCCACATGTATATAATCTCATTGAACCTCTAAGAAGTAACGATGTACATGCCAATCCACTTTTTCACTTGGGTAAGCTACTCATCACAATGGGTGATTATGATCACGCCGAACAATTTTATTATAAAATACTAGCAGATACTTCGGTCCTCAATCGTCCACATCGACTCAGTCTTATGCACAAAGGTCTTGGCAGTATCTTAATGTATAAAGGCGAATACAACAAAGCTCTCGAATACTTACACAAAGCGCTCGAAGTGAGCTTGAGCTATCTGCCCTCTGATCATCCTGATCTTGCAAGTATCTATACCATGATCGGTAGCTGTTACTCTCATATGGCTAATTATGCATTAGCTTTGGACAATTACAAACGAGCCATGCAATTGATGCAGAATAATATTCAACCGGTTGATCAACAATCTATCGACGATGTGCATAGCTGTATTATCCATTTCAGTGAGTTACTGAAACATCAGAAATGATGTTTCATTTGATTATAGCTGATCATAAGAATCATATTGCACATCGTATTGTATTGTATCTTGTATAAAGAAACTGGTGAAGGTGTGAAGGTGCCTTTTTTTCTTCTCGTATTCTTTTGAAAATGTGTTAGGCAATGAAATTGTGTCCATATGTACCGCTTATCTGTTTATGAAATGTAAATCAAATATTTCTCATGACAGAAAAAACATGAAGACTCCTTTTTCGTTTTCTAGATTATGAAAAACTTTGTTTTTGTGGACTTTTATATACTTTGCTTGCATGGATATTGTCATGAAACCTTCTGTTTTAGATTTCAATTACAAGTTTTTATGTCACTGGTCACTACAAATCCATCTGCGAGAGATGATGATTTCGATAGTTTTCATTATTTATTCAATACCTAAGTCTATCATTCAGGTCCCCATAAACGCCAAGAACCCACCGGATAATTATCGCATTGGTACGTTCTTCACTTTGAGCTATTGTTTCGTCTATTGTTCATGTTATGCTTCGCTCTCACAAAAATGCATATAGAGCTTACATGAAGCGACTCATGTGTGACAACAACCGTTTTATTGTCAAAATGCACCAGGAAAGATCAAAAAGATATTTTCTTCGTTGATATCGATAATAAAATCAACAAATGCGCCGATATCAATTAATATATTGATTTTATTAACTATTTGTTCAAATTTGTTTCTTGTATTAATACAATCATTATTATTGATTTCATCAATACTACTATCCAATCATATAAAACAATAATTTAGCAGTATACAGGCACAAAGCAGTCAAGATGTTGCTATGTTAAGATGATGATGCTGCATATGCGTTTTTGGAAAAAGTTGTATGTCTCTTTGGCATTGTACCATCTGTGCCGTCAGCTATCAATTTTTCTGTTTTGTTCTCCCTTTGCTATTGAGTACAAAATATAATACTGGGTGTATTGTGCTTTCAATCAGTAATAGTCCGAAAAATGATATTGATTCTTTGCTTTGCTTCGTGCCTTTAATAAATGGAGCATTCTACTTATTTTATATTGAATACGTTGCCATCGAAACTAAATGCTGTTTAATGCGACAAATTACTTCTTATATGCCACTTTATTAATTAACTGATTTATTCTAACTAATTTATATGAAAAGTACCTATACCTACAACAATATATTAGATACGCATTTTCTTTTCTTTTCTAAGAACAAGAGAAACAAATACATGTCAAATAATAGTGTATGACGATTCAAGCATGAATACTCTTTTTCTTAGCTCGTTCGACTGTCATTATGAAAGAAAGGAAAGACAATGAATAGTTTTTGTGCAAACATTATCGAATATATGTTTATTCTATAGATTCAGAAAAGGAATTTGTAAAAAAAATTATGACAATAAAGAGTGTTCCATAAGTCCACTCCAATAAGAAACATCAGTATCTCAAACGGTTTACATTCCTTTTTAATTGTTTGATTTATTATTCATTAAAGTTCTATTCAACATATTTCAGATAACAATATTGCATCTAAAGAAATTAGAATTAAAATAGTTTTACTCATTGTCAAAATCGAATAAGTCAACATTGTAAACCGGTAACTACAAATTGAATTTGGAAAAAAGACGCCAGCTGAATATTGCATTAGCATTCCTTTCAAAAGTTTGGTGAAATCAGTATTGTCGAAAATCGATGAGATTCTGGAAGACCATAGAATAACTACTGAAGAAAAAATCAGTGTAGTTTATGATGTTTGTAAAAATGAGTCAGGGTCAAATGTTCGCTTTATGTAACTCTTCTTCCTAGAAATGTTGAACCTATTGGCTTTAATAAGAGATATTTTGTTAAAATATGATGGATCCTTATGCGTAGTATAGAACAATCTTGTGCAGTAGACTGAAAACTTGATCACGGTTCATTTTTACAAGCGTCATTGACTTCATTGACTTTTTCTTCAGTAATTGCTCTACGCTGTCTCAGAACGTCATCCACTTTTGATAGTACTGGTTTCACCAAATCATTGCAACGTAGTGTCTATGCAATATTTAGCTGACTCATTCGACTTTGACCATGAGTAAAACTATATATTATTCCTGACTTATTTTTAGACGTACGCATTTTATATGACATATATTGAATAAGATTTTAATGAATATCAGATTAAAATGTTAAAGAGGAATGTAAATTGTTTGAGATATTCATGTTGCTAATTTGACTGAGCTTCTCGAACGTTCTGTAAATTATTGAACAGTTAAAAACCACAACAGATAATTATTGTTGAATAGTTTCAAGGGTGTGAGTGGGTGTGGGTGTGGGTGTTGATAGTAGAAAAGACACTCACACCCACACTCACACCCACACCCACATCCACCCCCACCCACACACCCACATCCAATAAGTGCTTCTTGTGGAGTATTGTTGCATAAGATTTTAACGAAAATCGGATTAAATGCTGTTGTAGTTGATGACTTTTTGGCTCCACAGGGATCGTCGTCATCATCCGATTCCTTTATTCGAAAAAATATTGTTGAGGACAATCGCGTACTTGATGATTTAATTGTCCACATTTGAAACAGCCATTGTTCTTCTTATAAAAGTATTTAATTGTTGCATGGTTGTTTTTATTGCAAATTAAACATAAATTCGATTGTTGTTTTTTTTTCTGGATAATTTTTACGATTTTGTTGAAGAATTAAATGATTGTTTTGTTTTGGATATGTGCGATCATTTGTTAATGTTGGTAGTTGTTGATGTTGTTTTTTGTAGTAATGACGTGATGTAAGTGGCTGTTGACTTAATGATTGAGTATTCGATGGTGTTGGTTGAATTGTTGCAGTTGGTAATATATGTTCAAAAAATGGTTGATTTTTTGGTTCAGGATGTGAAGTATTGCTTTTTTGTTTAATTCGTTTTTGTATATATTCTTCCTGTCTTGCAAATTGCAACCATTCTTCTGATTTTTTAATTGTTTTTTCGTTACGAGTTAGATGTTCCTTTAATGAATTATTAACACCATTTTGTAATACTGTAATAACTTGTTGTTCTGTAATGAATTGTCGGATTTTCCTATATTTACGAATAACATTTTCATAAAATGATATAACAGATTGATTTTCTTCTTGATAAATATGAAAAAATTCTTGCATTAATTGGCTATCAGATGTAAATTCTTTAAATCGATCTCGTAGTGCTTTTTCAGCCTCATTCCAATTGATGAAGAATTTTAAACCCTTTTGGTACCATCGTAATGCTGGCCCTGTTAATTTGCCCATTGTTTCAAGAATTTTGGTTTCATCTTTTAATTTCATTAATAAAAATAAATTATTCAAATCGAATAACCATTCATCAATATCAATTTCATTGACTTCTCCTGAAAACTCAGTTATTTTCTTCATTGCTTCTTTTTGGCTTGAATGCAACTGTCGAGCCTCCATCGATGTTGTTTCCATTTCTTGCATAAATGACATATCGTTTGGTTTTTTATTTCGTATTCTTGTTGGTGAATTGGTAATTAATTCATATGGTAAAAGATCTGCTCTACTTGTTTTAATCGCTCTTCTTGTACCGGTAGCCGTTGTTAAATATATATATATATATGCACTTAAAGGAAGGACAAAAAATTGGAACTTTATATATAAGAAAGATACCTTCTTATGATAATTAAATTTTAAAAATAATTGGTATATAAATATGTAATGTCCTCTTTCCTAGAAGGATGAGATCATATTTCACTCTTTCCGTCACGGATGAGTAAATTAATTAATAAGTTCGTTCTTCTTCGATGTGGTAATTAGAAGAAGATGAATCACGGCACCAATTGTTAGCTCGTTTCGACGAGCTTACGTTTATTTATTTTATTTATATCTGAAAAGTGTGTAATGTCCTTAACAACACGTACATATATATTACGCAACGCTATATAGAGAGAAAAGAGAAGAAAAGAAGGAGAGACAACAATAACAACAATGGAGGATAAAGGGAGAGATGGAAAAACATCAAGGGGCAGGAATGAGGATGAATCACCGCTAACACACTCACACCCATCCACAGCCACCCCCAAGTGTCTCGTTACCTGTTTCCCAACAACTGGTAACAATAAAGTTATCAGTTACCGGGTAATTGCTAGCTGTAGGTGTGGCTGTGAGTGTGGCTGTGAATAATGAGGGTAACCACACCCACACCCCCCACACACACTCACACCCACATCCACACCCACACTCACACCCGCCACCACACACCCACATTCACACCCACACTCACCACACCCACACACACCCCACACCCACACCCCACACGCACACCCACACCCCACACGCACACCCACCCACACTCCACACCCCACACCCACACCCACACCTTATACTTCTAGTATATTTTCTTATTTTCATTCATCTGTGAGAAGAAAATAAATATGACTTTTTTTCTTCAAGTATATTTTCATGTACACTTGTCTTGCATGATTTAATCCAATTGACAATGTTTATTAAGAAAAATTTTATGCTATTTTTCAATAGCACGTAGGTACAAAGAGAAAAAAAAGAATCGTGAAAATGACTCAAAGTGATGGTTTTTGCGAATAAATGAAATGTATCAAAAATACATGAGATATTGATGTTATCTAATTTACATTAAATACATTCGAAACAGGAAGGATGAGAAGTCTAGCAAACATTTCCTGTTTTCGTAAAGACGCTTAAATAATCATGAAATTGAGCTTCAGTCATATTGTACTAATCGCGATATTTCTGAAGAATTAAACGAATATATCCTATTTACAAAATCTTGGTATATGCCAAGCACTTTGTTTATTTCAAAGCAATAATTTATTCTAAACTCAATCAAATTCTTATATGTCAACTATAACATATTCAAGCATAGTATAAATCAAGTCAATGATCAACTGTGATCGCAATTCTAAGCTAGGTGTTAAAAATAATCAATTATATATTGTGATGGCTAAATTCAAATAAAAACTAAATATATAGATAATTTTCTTGTTAATAAATAATGAATCGACACCGGTGAAGAAACGACTGGCTAAGTAAAAGATAACTTTCGAGAAAGTAATATATGAGTTTTTAAAGGTTTTTTTTTAACATAATTAGTCCAAAGTTTAAACTACTTCTCTATATCAATTTCAAGTTTGCAGTCAGGATAATAATTTTGTATAATATTTTTATGAAAAGTTTTGATGCACAATTTTGTTTACAATCATTTCATATTAGATGTAGAACTGTGACAGTTCCAATTCAAAAGAACTCCTAAACAGTTCAGATGAACTGGTGGACCAGTTCTTCTGAAACAGAACTGTTGTAATTCGGATAGGCTCAGTCTTTATACGACGAATTAGCATTAGTTCTTTTTCAAAAGAACTGATTCACCAGTTCAGTTCACGTGAACTAGAACTGATCTATCAATTCACGAGAATTGAACTGAAATCAAACTATCACAGTCCTAATCAAGTGCAAAGATCGGAATGGGAAGATTTTTTTAGTCCCCATTCCGATTCCTCGTCCTGTTTCGGTTTCTGATCAGGTGATTGTACAACTTTTGTAGCGTTTCAAATATGAGTTTATCATCATTAAGATAAATCTTTAAAGTATACCTTGTAAGTAAATATTTAAACCATAATTTTAGAAAAATATTGTATTAATAATCGATACAAGTTGAAACAAACTTCTTAGCTTGAGAGAAAGACATTTTTGAAAAAAATAAAAAATTCACAGCATTTCTATACACGAACTAATTGATTCTGTTGTTACAACCATCATTACTGATGTTATATGCATAATGTAGATCAAGTGATTGATAAAGAATATTCAGTTTACGATAGTAAATCTTTTTTTCTAACACAAAATTTTCCATTTATTTATTTTATATTTCATGAAATTACTCAATAAAAAGATATTGTAGAAATAAATTATAAAAAGAACTTTTTCAATCATTACTCTGACTGATTCAAAGCAGATATTCATGTTGGGCTTTCCATAAGATGAAATAGTCAATTGTGCTATATTCAATATCAAGAAAATTTTTGGGTTTTTTTTTATTTGATTATAATAATAGCATACTTTTCTGTAATTATGTATCTATTCAAGATTTTTTTGCATGAAGATTGGTCAAAAAGTTCAATTCGAGTTTAGTTGTTGATGTGTTTTCCTTTAATAGAAATATTTTTTTTTATCCCAGACAAGATCGTGCATTCAAGTGTGGAGCATAATACTCATTATATGAACTTCGCGCACAACAATAGTAAATCTATTGTGGCAACGTAATGTATTATTGTGTTATGTATCACACGTGATCATATGCCGTTATTCTATTCAAATTAGTCCATATGAATTTGGTTTTCGTTTTAAAAAATACCTGTTTCTCATCAACGATACGATCTGTATTTATTAGAGTATTGTACAATTGTAAAATTCACAAAAGTTATAGGCAATACAGATCACAGAATATAATGAACGAGAGAAATGAGATTTAAAAAAACTATTGAGATATACAAGTTAAAATTTTGATCAAACTTTAACCGTTCAATTCTCATAAAAGACACAAAAAAAATTTCTACATAAAAGAATTACAAATTACTGGAAATAATACAAGTATCACTTATTTTCCTATAATAACTTAGAAGAAATAAAGTTGCAATTTATTAAATTAAGAACACAATCAAAGAAGAATATTGNTAACTCCGTCATAAGAAAAGCTAGAGAGCTCGGGCTGGTTTCAAATTAAAGTATATGTCAGTACGCAATTTTTGTCCGAACAGAATTTTGATATTCCGTTCTATTCATTTTTATGAGCATTTTAGTGCGAGGATCTTAAAATTAGCAGAAAAAATGGTAGTCCAACGACAGTAAATTCCACTTTTCTCAGCCCAGGAACCAACTTTCAAAAATCCGTTCGGACAAAAGTTTACCCTAATCGAGAGCTTTAAAACAAAAAAAAAAATATTGAATAATACCCATGGCCGAGACGGAGTGATTCCAATTTTCCTGCTAAGAAACCGTATTCTGAGAAAAGCGCCAAAGAAGTTTTAGAAATGGAGTTTTCATTCAAATTCAGGAAATAATGGTATATTGATAATATTTATGTGGAATTTTTGAAAGCACGCAATGGATGGCGTAAGCTAGCACTACAGGTCGTACTATATGATATAGGTGGAAATCTCCGGCGAAGATCTATAAAAATTTGACCTTTTTTTTTTAAATTTATATATATTCTGAAAGAGGCAGCTTCACTTCATCTTCCTATGATAAAAACTCGACTTCGATTACTTTTCCAAAAATGGATTTTCTGAGGGGGAGAGCCCTTAATAATTTTTGTTAAATTGTATTGATATTGATAATGATACTTAGAACTTTAAGATTAAATAATTTTTCTATAGGACTAAATTCTAATAAATATATGATAGAAAAGATGCCAGACTGATCCTTTTTTTTTATCTGACTCATAAATAATTAAATACTTTCACCTGTGTATATGAAATATCCTTGGTAAATATACTATTGAAGTATCTGATTTAATACACTGTTTGACAAAAAAAATTTAAATATCAAAACAAAAAAAATGCTTATCCAATAGGAGGACAATATTATCTTTCGTAAGTAACAATGTATTAGTTTCACATTTATTGATCGACGAATATTCGAAGCCTACATACAATGAATCACATTAGTCTACACTACTATCCAAAAACATGTGATTTGTGATCATTGAAAGTGGGCGAAATATTGCTCTCAAATATGAAGTGGAATCAAGTTACCAGCAAAAAGAATAGTAAGCTACGAAAAAAGATTAAAGCATATATACCCATTTTCAGTTACTGATTTCGATCACTCATTGTCATTTGACGTTTTGATACAATGCGCGCCTTGACTACATTTATAGTTTTGCTTTTGATTCTACAACAAACATTCGCTAACAATTGTCATTGCAGTTGTTGTACATCATTTGGCTGTGAGCCTCAACCAGTGGGTTCTTTCTCTTTATGGCTTTGCACAGTTCAAACATGTCGACCAGAATACTGTGTTGATCGTTATCATCAACAGTGTCCACCAGTAGGTGCTCATGGAAACACAACGGCAACCTGTAGAAATAATGGTACTGAACGATTATTACCACCATTATTAATTGTAATTGGTATTACTTCAATTATTTTAACAATTAAAAACAAGCTTTAAAATAAGACATAAAACGAGGTTTTATTTTCATGTGCGTATTCGTCTAATTCTTTTTTTTTTTTTTGTTCTTCTTTGAAAAATAAAAGTTAATTATCAAGATAATATTTTGTTCATATTACTATAAGCAACTGTTACATATTTTATATATAGAATTCAATTGAAGAATGAAAAATAAATATTTAACTCACCATGATCTAGTTATAATTTGAAATTTGTTTTAGATCAAAGTAAAAAATAAAAATCAACTATCCTAAGGCAACGTTTTTAGTTTCACAACATAGTCTTAAAAATTATGAGATCGAATTTCAAATTAGAATATTTTAAATTGATTGAGGATAGAAAGTAAGATTTTTTTTTTTGTTATTTTCTAAATGTAATTCAAGATAACATATAGAGATACGACAATGAAAAAAAAAAGTGGAAGTAAAGGTACAACAAAAAAATTTGCTGTAAGTTGAAACTATTTACATGTAATTATTTAAAAGTGGGTGGAAAAGCTGTCATTTTTTTTTTCTTTCATTCTACGATCGTCTGCTTTTTATAAAGAAGAAAGATTTTTTGCTACGGAAAGAAAATGAAAACTTTCTTTATTTGGTCATCTGATTTGAGAATTGTGAAAAACAATTTAATTTCATGACTGACATTATTGCAACTTTAATCCTTTAGTGATCGATAATGCATATATACGTCAAGAACTTTATCATCAAGTGAAACTAATGTAATCACTAATAATATATTTGCATAAAAGCAAACGCCGAACAGCAGGCACTTTCTACATTATCACTTTTTACCTTTTATGTTAGACTAATGTGTGAAGTTTTTTGGTGACAGAGGTTTCTTTTTCATTAAACCTTAAATGGATTGTATGTGTCAAAAAATCCAACAGATTTCATGTAGAATCATTAAATTTCATAAGATTCTTGGATCGTACAATCAAGCAGAATAGTGCTGAACCTTATAGAATCTTGCAGTTGGTTGCATGGAGAATGTTGAAATCTCATATTATGATATGAAGCTCATGGAATCTAACAATCTATTGATATGTAATATTAGAGTTCTAGTAAAATTTGCAACGCCATTGAACAGAATTTTATATGATTTTATAAAATCCTGTTTGGCTTCATGTTCTTCTAAAAGACTTTGAATATAGAACTTTCATAGATTCTCCAGAGTGCTATCAGAATTATTCAATCGATGAATGAAATAATTCTCCTAACATAACGTTGATCAATTTCGATGTATAAATAAAACTTAATTTATTTTACTAAAAAATATCTCTGGTAATAATTGTGTTTTTAATTTAAGGTCACCTCACGTTGCATAAAGTGCAACGTTGATAGAATCTAGTGTTTGATAATGATAGATTTTTCTCAAACACGAAAAATGAAATAGGAATAGGAAATCTGAAAGCATTACGAGAACGCAGCAACAATTTTTTTACGGGAAAGGGAAACGAGGTCGGGAAATGTCTTTTCCGCAAAACACCAACCTATGATTTGAGAACTATCCAATCAATTATGACAGTGCCAAGTTATTAGATAATTACTCAAATGTTTCTTTAGCTAGATGAGTAATTATGAAAGGACTTTAAGATTCACTTAAGATCCTATTCGTGTATTTCTGATCATTATTGACTTTTGTGTTTTGGATGTCTGTAGCCGTTCACTTTATTTCACTGTATACAGACCTTACTATAGTTAACTGTGAATTTTTTTTTTATATTGGCTTATAACGAGACATTATTGATATACAGTCTTGGGTCGTATATCAACAACAGCTGTTACAAAATGTGATGCAAAGATGTCTGTAACATCTGTCATGTGTGTGTCTGTCATAATCTGTGACATTTTCATAATAATATCCGTTATGGGATATGATGCGAGAGGGAAGTGCGAATTTCGATCCAATGTATTTCAACACTCTTTTTAGATTATGTATGTGACAAAAATTAATTTATGAAATTCTTAGTAAATTTATTTTATCTAAAGTTTACATAATGAATTATAATTATTGATAATAAATAAAAGCGATGAAAATTGTATAGCTTTGGTATGTTCATTACCGAATGTAGCTTGAACAATCCGTTGTGCTTCTAAATAATATGTTTTTGCTTCTTCTAATTTTGATTGTTTTTCACTTTGATTTATTTGTTTTTGTTGATCAATTTCAACAACAAATTTCATGCAAATATCACCTAAATTTGAATAAACATCACATACTTCAATATGATTTGGACCTAGACTATTCAAAAGAATTTGTAATGATTGTTTTAAATGAATATATGCTATTTTATAATCATTTATCATTGCATATGCAAGACCAAGAGAATTAAGAAACATTCCATATTTATAATGTTTATCATCAAATTCTCTTTTAATAATAATCAAAGCACGATTTATATAATCAATAGCTTGTTTATAATTACCTAAAAGAAAAAAAAAACAAAGGAAACATGCATCAATCAAATTTCTATTGAAATAAATAATTCATAGAAACTAACCAAGTTGATGTTGAACTTGTCCAATATTATGTAAAATTTCAGCTGCTTCTGAATGTTGTAAACCAAGTGTTTTTTCAATAGCAGTTAATGCACGTTGATAAAGTTGTAATGCATTATCAAATTTATTACGTTTTCTATCAAGATCAGCTAAATTATTATAATAAATACCTAATTTATAATGTTCTTGATCACGACCAAATGTATCATAGACTATTTCAATAGCACGTTTATAATATTTTTCTGCACCATCATAATCAGCTCGTTTTTTTAAAACTAAACCCATAGAATTAAGTACTTCAGCTACTTCTATATGATTCTGTCCATATGATTGTTCTAAACAAGTTAATGCTTCTTTATAAGTTGCTTCAGCTGTTTTGAAATCACCTTGCTAAAACATAAGAAGAAGAAGAAAAAAAAGAGAATAACGATAGATTTTCTTCAAGAATTTTTTTATACTTTTCGATAAATATCACCAACATTGGTAAGATAAATGCCAATAGTTGGATGATCTTGTCCATAATAATGCTTTGAAAATTTTAATGCTTGTTTAAGATAATCTAATGCTTCAGTATATTTTCCTTCTTTTTTAAGTAATAAAGCAAGATTATTCATAATATCAGCAATTGTTGGATGATTTTGTCCATAGAATGATTCAGCTTGTTTAAGAGCTTTTAAATAAAATTCTCTTGCTTCATTATAATTGCCTTTTTTACGATGAATATCTATAGATTTA